GGGGGGGGGGGGGGAAACGTTAAAATAATATAAAAAAATGCGGAAAAGAATTCTTAAAATTATTTATTTTATTTTTCATTATTCTCAAATGAGAATAAAAAAATCAGGAGCATCTCTTTCCTCTCCAATATGAGAGTAAGGGATCTTCTGAAAATAATTCTGGAGAAAAAAATCTTTTGAAACTTTCTAAAAAAAAAAAGAAAATTATGTGCTTCATTATTCTTTATTTTTCATTATTCTCACATTAGAATATAAAAATCAGGAGCATCTCTTTCCCCTCCAATATGGTAGTAAGATAATTATGGAGAAAAAAATTGTTTAAAAAATTTCTACCGAAATGAAAACGGAAATTATATATTTCCCAAAGGAAAAATCTTTGTGCAAGAACTCTAACGTTCTTCGACAATGTCTCTGCAATGATGGTAATATTTTAATAGGCATAATATTCTATGCTATATTCATTGAATATCCTAAATAGGTTTTTATACTTTTTAATTTGCTAATAGAACGTTCTGTTCACCACTTGCTATAGATAGTGGGATTGTTAAGAAAATTCTTTAACTTATCAGTTAGGAAAAATATCTTTTTCGTTTTCTTATAAATGAACACAAAGAGATCAATGAAGAGATATTATTTTAATATTTCTTTCTTAAAATTTATTATTAAAAAGGGATATTTTCCACTTAATTAGATATATTTCACTCATGATATAACATATTTTATGCTCATTCATAAAGATATTTTACACTGAATATACGTTATATTACAAATTATTTAAAAAAATAAAAAATAGTCATTGACTGCTGTGACACAATTTCTTGGGTTTATTAACATTTTTATTCATTTATAAAGTCATTCTTTGATTCAACCATTCTCTAAATTGCTTTTCAATCTCTTGCCAATAAACAAATTAGCTGTTATTTATTGCTACGCATTCATGTATGTGTGGAAATACCATGTTAAGCAGATAGAGAGCGCTGTTGCTTTCAGATGTTTCTTGCTAGTTTAATTTAGACTTAGAATCAAAAATGAGATCAAAACCAATTTATTAATAGTTTTCGGAATATTTAATACCTTATTTGAATATATTAACTGCTTTGAAATGACAATTTTATTTACTAGCCTCAAACTAGAGTTAATAGTAGGCAGAAAATAAAAATCAGTTAATAGTCATAGTTATGCTTATCATACTGATACAGAAAGAAAGCAATGATCGCCAAAACATAGATAAAAGCGAGCCTAAGAGTGTATTTGGCGAAGATCCCTCTTACAGTGGGGGTTACCCTTTATTTTAGGAATCAGTTGAACTGCAGCCTTGATGTTCGAAAGACGTTGGGCTACAGCCGGGGAGTGCATTTAGTTTCTCCCTCCTTTTTATACTTATCTTCTAATTGTAATCAAGAGAAATTATTAATTAAAATAAATTTAAAGTTAACTAAGTGTTATCAATCTTTACTAATCTTTAACATAGATTTATTTAATACGTATTTTTCATCTTTCTTTGGGTGTTACGGGGAAGTTAGATTTACAACTTCTCTTGGTTCTTTTATCATTTTTCTCTTGTTGACATTCAACTAACGGATGCTGAACTTAATGCTCAAGGGTTGTGACGTATTGTTTCTGATGTTTCTTTTTATGTTGAATCAAATAAAACCTCCAAAAAGTCGATAGAACAAAAGTTATAAAAAATTTTATGGATAAAAGGTACTGTTTTGTACTTATGCACATGAATGCATTTGATATTACTGTAGAGATAAGCAGCATTTAGTTACTTTTTACTTTTAATCGAATAAGAGCGAATCCAAATTAATAATTTTGAAGTTATCAGAATTAAAATGATCTAATGCATAAATAGTACAGTTTTTGATTTAAACCTATTTACACATCTACATTTCTATCTAGGAAGCAAAACAGTACTCAATATTCAATACTTTAGGTGCTTATGCCAAAATTGTAAACATCAAAATTTATGCTTATTACATAGTTGCCAACTCTACTGGATTTTTCCAGTTTCTCTTGGTCTACTGGTTTAATAAAAATTCTCCTGGTTTTTGTACATTTTAGAAAACTCCCTAAAATTTAGTAATTTTCCTAAGAAATCCCTATTGAAATAGAATTTTTGCACAGATTATTGCTTGAATATTTAAATAAGTACTACTAATATATAAGGATGCACCCCTCATTTATAGAAATTAAATTAGAACTTTTTTTTTGTTCTGAAATGTTCAGTTTATTTTTATTCAGAACTTCCTTTTTAAATTAATTAAAAGAGATCTTAATTATTTCTTATGAATTATATGCCTATTCAAAATTACCAGTAAACATAATTCAAAACATTTCAAGCATATTTAATACCAATCATGACTGAAAAATATTGCAGTTTTTCTATTTTGATGTCCATAAAAATTCCCTATGTGTAAAATATTTAGCACATATTGCAACAGTTATCATAAAATTTATATTATTTTGCAAAATCTACTGGATTTTTGCCTACCCATGTTGACAGCTATGTTATTAAGAAAAAATTAAAGTACTTCTAAACTGTTCGGCCTATTGGTTTAAATTTTCATTCGATTCAGCGCTAAATAAAAGTTTTTTTTGTTGGAAAGTTAATATGTTCAAAATAAGGTAATAAATATTTCTGAAACTGTTTAGAATAAATTTGTTTTACTCTCATTTGATTTGGTTTTATCTCATTTTACTAATCATAAGAAATTGGCACGATTTATCTATAATTTTTTTATTTATTATTTTTGATCTATTAGTTGTAACGATTTGGATGAGGTCGATTCAGTGTAAAAAATACATCATAATGGTCTATATAGACCCTTTGCTACAACCCAATAAGTTCTTCAGTGAGACTTACTGTGGGAAGTATCTGACACCTCAGGAGAAGGTTTCACATACTCTGCCATGCAAATGATTTTTATATATTTGCCATCTTTGTATGGTAAACTACTTATTGCACAAAACTTTTCTCATTTTTTATTTTTATTTTATTAGTCTTTTGAAATTCTATTTTAGTGTTCATAGCATTTGCAATAGAAAGAAAATAGTTGTCAAGCCACTTTTTTCGGAATCAATCATGAAGCAATTACTTTTTTTTTAATTACACGGCATTTCTTATAAGTGGCTTGAATAACATTTTTAAAACAATTTACAGCTTTCCCTTAACTATTTCTAAATTCGATTACTCAGGCATGGGCATCAAATTGTAATGCCACATTATAAGATAGTTGAATCAGTAACCATAGGTCTGTGAATTGATTTTGTTTCTGCTATAATTAGGGCTTCCTTTCCAGCAAATTTTATACTTTAATAGTTTTTACCAAGAGATTTAAGGATCTTGATTGATGTTGAAAATTTTAGTTTCTTGTTAATTTAGGGTCAATTTTAAGGTCACGCCAAAAATATATCACATATATATTTTTTTTGGTACTACTCATTGGTATGTATTTGCAGAAATGTGATTGGTACTAGTAGATTTTGACGGTCTAGGAGTTCCTTTTGACATTTGATTTTCGATGCAGAGTATTTTTGTCAGATGAGTCGGTGTGAACATAATAGTAGAACAAACAGTGCGGTGATTCACTTATAAATCGTTTTCTCAAAGTTCAAAAGGACGTTAAATTTTTACCACTCAACCTTCGAGAAAAAACTTTTTTCAAACAAACAGCGTGTGTTTTATAGTTTTACGTAAAGAACATGTCAGGAAAGTTTTAAGAAAATAAAAGAAGTATCAAAACGAGTGAGATTTGCCCAGAATTCTTTTTTAAACTTTTACTTTTTTTGTTTGTTTGATTTAGACCACCGTGAGGCGGCTAGTAAAATGTTAATGAAATTAAATTGTGTTTGTAAATAAATTGTGGATGTATGACTTAAAACTAAAAAGAGTTGAACTTTCTACAGAAATCCTGACTTAACTTGCTCTAAAATTAGAACTCCCCTTTTTCTAGATTGCAGTTATTTCACTACAATGTTATGATGATTATAAATTTGTATTGGTAAAGTCTGTGAAAAACACCTGCTGTGTAGTTTTCTAACTGGCAAAAGTGATGGAAGATGGCCTCTTTTGAATTCTTGCCATCTGATGAGTAACAGGAAATAAATTATTATCAGAACAAATTTCTATATTAATATTCAGGTTGTCACTTGTAATCCCATTAGCGTATCTTCCACAAAAGATGAGGATTGAACTGTACAAATTATATGTATTAGGATCTGAAAATTCAATGTTAATAAGAATATTTATCAAACTTCTGTTTGTTGAGAGAGTGTTGTTCCTTTCTTAGACCTACGAATCTCTCAGAAGCTTTTTTTTTATGTTTTGTTTCCTTAATCATAAAGGTATTTATTTTATTACATAGTGATAAACAATAAAATTATTACATTGCAATGTATGAGTCACAAAAATAGCTGATAATTTGAAATTATGCATTTAATTTATGAGATCACAAACAGTTGATAATTTTTTTTAAATTATACATATAATTTATGAGTCACATCAACAGCAGATAAATCTATTTGAAACTAATATTAGTGTTAGCATTATTAATTCTATTTATAATGCTAATACATTAGTTTATCAGTCACATCAACAGCAGATAATTCTATTTGTAATTATACATTTACTAAATGAGATCACACTATTTTTTTCACAAACATTTCAAGGAAAACTGTGGTTGTCATTTTGGAATATAGCAAGTTGGTGTAAAATCTAGCAAAATTTTGATAGTTTGTCGTCCTTTACAATGCCTGTATAGGCAAACTCCTCCATAAACCGGTAAAGCAAAAAGAGAGATACCCACTGCTAAAGCTCCAGCACAGAATGCTAATGTACCAAGGACTGGTGCGGCAATGACTTTTCCACCTAAATGAAAATTTTGCAAAAATATCATTAGATAATAAAATAAACATAGGGGAGAGTGGGGTAAGACCGGGTACTTTATTAGTTCTATTTTCTCGTGGGCAAACTATGTTTTATGCTTTGCTAGTCAAGAAGATACCATATTGGTGTGTTGTTTATTAATTATGTGTAGACAAGTTTGTTCTACTATATCTGATCTTTAATGTTCTTATGATTTTAAGCAAGACTTATTTCTTCGTTATAAAAATTACTTTTAGTCCAGTCCATTATATGTTTACTAAAGATTCATACTCTAAAAAACAATAAAGATTCCGTCCTATAGTAGCACTTCTGTTTCGTTCGGATAACCTCTGTTCTCGGTGTAAGGCAGAGAGAATTGACTTTTTCAAGAATTTTTTTTTTAAATGCAGCATATCAATAACTTTTCAGGGATATTGCACACTTCTAAACAATGAATATCGTGATTAAATCTGACTGTCCAACAGTTAAGCTTCAGCAAGCCTACAAATCATCCGGTATTACCCCTTTCCCCCTACATATAAATTAGAGTTGATTCGATAAAATACTTATTGTTTATTCTACAATTTCATGAAGAAATAAAACTTTTCACAAATGAATCCTTCAAAGGCAGGCTATCCAACATGAAGATTGTCATCAAACCTCCTCTGTCACAATGTAAGTTATTCTTAGTATGTCTCAATGTAGGCAGGTTATTCTTTCATATGAAAAGAATTTATCCTCCAATGTTTGTGAAAGTGGAGATTTGATGGTCTGAACTGGCATCATGATGGATGGTTAAGAAAAAGAAAGAGGAAAGGTGCGGTAAATGACGTGAGGTGACATAACTAGTCACCTATCACGTCAACAGTTTTATGGAAAGTGAAGATAATCGCGGGATGGATTGGCAAGTTAGATCTTCATTCTATTGAACATGCCCGTGACGCTCTAGAGAATGAAATTCCAAGGCCTCCACTAAAGTTAACATTCAAAAAATTTTGTTTTTGTAACTCCATAGCTTAAATATAGTAGTCTAAATAGTATTATCCGAAATTAATATTAGTATATATATATATATCTTAAAAAAATACCTAAATAATGTAGGTTTAATATTTAATGCAAGGTTCATTTTTGGCGAGGTTCGCAAAACGACTCGTTGTTTGAATTTGAGATTAAAAGAGAATTTTTTTTCTCTGTCCTTACCTGCTCCTTGAATCTGATTATGATCTATCTATCTATCCGTATATATACTATAGTCCATTAAAATTGCTACGCCAGGAAGGTGACACACCACGGACGTGAAATTTGCAGGACGGATAAAGCATGTTGTGATTTGCAAATGATTAGCTTATCAGCGCATTCATGCGACGCAGGCGGCAGTAGCGACACCTACAATGTGTATAAAAGAAGAGATTTGAGCGTCGTTCTTGGGTAAAAAAGTTTTTGTTATGCCTCGTGTAAGAAGGAGAAATGCCTACCAGCATGTGTCTAAGTTTGATATAGGTCGAATTGTGGCCTCCCGGGAATGCGGTTTATCATACCGAAGTATTGCTGCTCGCGTTGGTCGAGATCCCATGATTGTTAGCAGAATATGGAATCGATGGGTTCATGACAACATAATCAACAGCCGAGAAGACAGACATGTTATCACATGGTCTTAAGGGATCGTAAAGCTACATCACGAACCCTCGAACCGAGAGTCAACAAATGGGGTCATTTGCAAGACAACACGTGTCTGCACGAACAGTTCGATGACGTTTGCAGAAGCATGAACTGTCAGTACTGCGATCATTGCTTCGGCTACCCTTGACTCTGCATCACAGGCAGGAGCGCCTCCAATGGTGTGATCAACGGCGAACCTGGAGGCAGAATAGACATCATCTTTTCAGACAAATCCAGGTTTTGTATACAGCATCATAATGGCAGCATCCATGTTTGGCAACATCATGGCGAACGCCCATTGCCATCCTGCATTCGACATCGTCATACTGGTCCATCACATGGAGTAATGGTATGGGGCGCCATTGGATACACGTCTCAATCACCTCTTGTTCTCATTGCCGGTACTTTGAACGGCAGCCGTTACATTTCTGATGTGTTAGGGCCAGTTGCTCTGCCTTATCTTCGATGCCTCCATAACGCTACGTTTCAGCAGGATAATGCACGACCGCACGTTGCCCGCACTGTCCTGACCTTCCTTGACACAGAACATGTTCGCCTGTTGCCCTTTTCAGCACGTTCTTCTGATCTCTCACCAACTGAAAACGTATCGTCCATGGTTGCTAAGCAACTGGCACGCCACCACTCGTCAGACACGACGGTCGATGAATTGTGGCATAATGTTGAAGCTGTATTGAATGCTATCCGTCTATGCTATCCACCTCTGCTTGACTTGATGCCCAGGAGAATGCTGCCAGGCTGCCAACGGAGGCAGCTATAATCCTGAAATATTAATCACTTGTTCTTCCAACTACAATGGATGTGCTCAATAAATGTCATTCTGTTATTTGCATTCCTTCCTGGTGCAGCAATTTAAATGGCCAGTAAGTAATATATATATATATANTCGCCCAGGAACAATGTTTTCATGGGGCACATTAGGACCCATAATCCTCATAGAACAATCCCTGACGTCTGTAAGCTACTTGAACATAGTTGCAGACCAGGTTCACCCATTCATGGCAACAGCTTTTCCTGCGGGGGATGGTGTTTACCAACAGGATAATGCACCACGTCATAGGGGTCGAATCGTCATGGATTGGTTCGAGGAACATTCCAGTGATTTTCAAGTCATGTCTTGGCCTCCAAATTCACCTGACCTTAATCCAATAGACTCGCAATGTGAGGGAATAGCAGGGCCAGTTGATGCGCGCTTGGTACCAGATACCTCAGACTACCTCTCAGCACCTTGTGGAATCAATGCCACTGCGGGTGCTAGCAGCTTTGAGGGCTAAAGGTGGTCCTACATGTTATTTGCAGGGTGGTTATAATGTAATGGCTCTTCGGTGTATATTGTTCTTTTACAAAAGCCGCAAAAGTCAAAATTCCTATCAAAAGATTATTCATGGGTGAAAATTCAAGGGAATATACTGATTAAGGAAATCTAAAAAATTCCCTATAGTAAGTCCCTATAGTAAGGCGTAATTTGTTAAAACGAATCAAGATAGTCAAATTTTCTTTTTTGGGTGACGATCGATTTTGTTGAAAATTTTCTTGCAACTCATTCCCTTTCAGAGTCCCTGAATAAAAGACACGACAGACTAATTTTGCTTGGCTTTTTCATGATGTAACTGCTAGTAAAACTACGGCCTGAACCCCAAAACCCTGACTGAGAAAATTTCCTTTTTAAAGAATTTATCATAAAATGCTAAAAAAAACTAAAAATAAACCAACTTGTGTCTTGTCTGTGGAAATTATTTGTTTTATCTTCAAATAAGATTGCAGATTCTTATAGGCCGGCATACGGTAGTTTATATGTGGGGTAATTTATATGTGAAATAAACATTAAAATATATTGTATTTCACGCAATAAGAAAAAAGGACGAACGGGAAATATACAACACTTTTTACCACAGAATACTAAAAAAATATGAAGGAATAGATTATTGAACTTATAAATCACTCAAAATCCTTTTGATGTTATGAAAAGTCAGAAGATTCCTTTTATTTCACTCGCACAGGAAACAAATAGAAAAGTGGGAAATAGGTGTGTGAGTGTGAAACGGATCATCAAATCGATGAAAAAGACTGCTGTTCATGTCGAAAATATACAACATTAAAATTAATGTGAAGAAATAAATTTCAGTCAAGAGTTGATCGCATTTTAAGAACCATCGAGTAAGCACCTGGATAATGTTAACTGCTTAGAACCATTTGATATCAAAACTTTAGACTCTAAAAGCTGTAGTCCCGCAGTGGACTGATCGTTGAGACATGGTTCCCAGCAGATCATCGAGCATCACTGGTTGCTGTCCGTGTGCGTGACCACTTGGATCAGTCTATAAAGGGACCCAAGGTGTGCGGTATTGGTCCTCGTTAAACTGTTCTACCGTAATATGTTCGGCTTCGCGTGCAGGTTGTCGGCTACTGAAGTGGGAGTGCCATCCCCTCTGCAGAGGATCAAAATTGTGATGGCATCCTCGGGGATGTTTCCCAGACCGTCGCCAATAGCACATTGTGCAGCTCGATTGCGAAGTAAATGAACTACAGCAACATCAACAACTAAAATCTGTATGCAAAATTATTTCTCACTGGTTACGTTTTCATTGAACTTTTGATTTGCTCATTCATTGCTAAACTTCACTTAAAATTTAAAACTTTTAAGAAAACTTTTATTATGTGAATAATTTTTTTACGATGTTATTCACTCGTGTTTGTGAAAATTGCAGCACCATGAAGAATTATGCAGATCAAATTAAACTTACATGAAATTTAAAGTGAGGTAAAGACATGCTAATGATTAGAATTACACAATTGTGCCAACTCTTTATCAGTCGCTTGTTCCATGTATATCAAGGACTATAAAGATAATCAGTTTATCGTCTTTTGTCTGCTGTAAACGCTTAATTAGTGGTTAACATCAGGGACCGATCAAGACTTACTCAGGCCCAAGGCCCACCAAATTTTCTGGGCCCCTTACAAAATATTTTGAAATTTAATCGTTGGAGAGTAGTCCTAACAATAAAAAAGAATCTATTAAACTGCATGATTCAAGAGAAACATTCTAAGAAATTTTGAAAGTAGACAATTGAAGAATATTTTTCTGAGACAAAGTTAACGCATCTACCAAACGCATTAATCTATTACACATCGAAGCAAAATATAAAACAACAAAGCAATATTATGCCAAAATAAAAATAATTTGGTGACCAAAAACAATTGAAATCAGTGTTTTTCCTAAAAGTCGCTGATTAGCTGAATTATTTTTTACTTAGTACTTAAACCAACACAAAGCTAGCCCACCTTTCATTAGATTTAACAATAAATTCAGCATGCATGCTAATATA